AAGCAGCCTATGAGTCTTGGAGTTGGCGTCACGGGTGAGGGTGCTGAAGTCAAGGTGATGCCCTCCTGCCACACTGGCATGGAGATACGGCATGCCACGCGTGCCACCTTGGGCGAGGCTGCCGGTGGTGATAATCCTGATGTTGGCTTCAGACTTAGTCCAAGCAGGGTTTGGGGTTCTTTGTGCAGTTTCCTTGACAGCTCGAGAAGCAAGGGCCGTCCCTCGGTCTGCATAGCTTATCCGATCCCCTTGTGACCTTTCAGGAGAGCCCCTCAACTGAATCGCGTTCCACTCAGCTTTCTCAGTCTGTGCGGGGCTGCGGCTGAAGGTTGGTCAAGTTTTCCGTGCTAAGCACTCGGTGTGGTTCACAGAGACTTCGTCGTGCAGCGCAGTGTTGTCCTGGACCTGGGCTTTACCAACTATCGTGCGGAGCTGCCTGACTTACTGTGCAAGACGTAGAGTCTTGTAGGCGGACTTGTCAGATCTTGCAGGTGTGCTGGGTGATTTTGCGATGTGTTGCGGGGAGAGAATAACGGTAGTCCCCGTACGGGCGAATCCACTCAGAAGCCCTTCGGCATCATGAAATCCTCAAGCGCGTGGTTCCACGGAATCCCGGAGATCCGAGCGTTTGTTGAGGTTCGTGGTCAAGCTTCGGTACAAGAACAAGAGCTTCCAGGGGAAGAACGAAGAGTCGAGATGGCGAAACAACACGGACATTGCTTTCAAGAATCGCTGGCTCCAGCAATCGCGATCCTGTCGTGGCATCTACGTACAGTCAACCCTAGATACAAGTTCCACTGCAGGAGCTGATCTTGAACATGCCCCAGACGAATGGCGTTGCTCGTCTCATCGACGTCGTGGAGGAGAATCCACCACTGAAGCCTCATGAGAATGTCAGGCTTCGGCATTCGTGTGAAATTTCAGGCTCGAATTCGTGGGTCTTTCAACCTCCATTGTGAAGCTGCTGAGATGCTTGAAGGTGATGGAGAAACAGCAGGTCGCATCGCGAACGGTGCGATCCTATTCCATTCCCTGCATGCAGCATACAACCTGTAAGCACTTGCCCAAGCCTGCGGGAGCCGGAAATCTCCCATAATACAAACACTGACCGTCTGCGCCTGGACAGGACAGCAGGGCCTACTACGTGGTGATGGAGCGTGCGGGAGGCAATGTTGCGGTGTTTCATACTAAAGCCTTTGCTGGTGTATGCCCTTTCCTTCAAAAGAGGCGAGGATGTTTTATTTTGTCGATTGCGCTATGATGTGAGAGTTGGACTTTAGCATGGAGTCAATGAGACCTTGAGAGCGGCAGCACCACCCTTCGCCCGCCGATCGAACTTGAAAGCTTAAACGTCGAAGAGCTGAAGGCACGGACTCAGGCATCAGTTTGGCATCATACGAGGGTCGTTGGCCTGCCGTAAGGCCTTAGAACTGTCCTTATCTTGCTGGCACTGCCGCATCACTACATCACTACGATGCTTCGAAACAGGACACCAGAGCCCACGTAAGCCGAACAAGCAGAGATCGTTGAAGCCCTTTTTGCGCGAAGGTTGTGACCTATACGAGTGTCTATCGGGCGTAGGGCCCTCAGCCAGACGTGAGCGCTGTGGTAAAGTCGCGGCTTGCAGTCGCCTCACAGCATCCTGGCTCGACACAGGGGCTGCCCCGACTTGTGAAGCCAACACTCCGAGCCCAAACATCTCCCTGTCAAGCTTAAGCGCACTTCGGTAAGTCGAGGCACCTGAACGACGGCTGCCTCCCCACGAGGCCTCCTCAAACCGGGAAGGGTGCCATAGTAGCACCGCAAAGAGAACCAGCATCCTCGCATACGAGACGAGCTTTTCAATTCGTGTTCTTGCTTTCAGCTGCTCATAAACTTCCTGGAGCAGAGGGCTCGTTCTCTAACGCACCAAGGATGTCAAGGTACAACATTCACACAAGAGAGACGGTAAATGTTTGCATCGAATACATGTTATTATACGCCCATCTGTGTGTCTCGGTGTCTGTCTGTTTGCCTGCCTGCCTGCCTGCCTGCCCAGCAATCGCTTGAGCTTTGCAAGGGTGCCGGGGGGAAGGGGGGAGGGTGGGGTTGTTGGGCTTCGAAGACTTCCAAGTGTTAAGGTTTCTTGCCAGCGACGGCTTTTGACGCTTAGCAGCGTAAGCCGACGGCCCTACCATGAGACACCCGCAGCTCGCTTGGTATGGGAAGAAGAAGGGAAAGTGCAGCCCGGTACTGCGCTGCACTGAGCGGCCCCGGTCTTGCTACTGGTGATTCTGTGCCCAATTCCTGACTGCAGAACATTTGCGGCTGTCATTCAATATAGTGGAACATTACCCAGCTTGCACAAAGTGGGATGCGTGCCAGAGTCTGAGCTAGTCTGAACCCTTGTGTCTCGTCATGCGGAGACGAAAAACCGAAGCGCACGCGCACGCACACACACACACACACACACACACACACACACACACACACACACACACACACACACACACACACACACACACACACACACACACACACACACGCTTTTACTTTCATGATGCCAGGCCAAGGAGGTGCTCAAGGAACTCCTTACAGCACCTTGGATATGCCTAAGAATGCCAAGGGCTGTGCTGACATGTACTCGTAAGATTGTTTCGACGTTTGTCACTGGCATGTACACCTCTCAAACTAGGTTCGTCGCTGGCTGCATGCGCTGTGTAATTCTGAGGCAGTCGCAGAGCTTCATGCGCATGGCTTCATCCACAAGGCGTAGACTGCCCATGAAATCAAGACGGCCGTGCTTCCCGACGTATCGAAAGTCATAGCTTCCCAAACCACCTCCAAATGCTCGCACCTCTCCTCATGGACTCACGAAGAGAAGGAAAGATGAAGAGAAAGCCAGATGTTGCGAACTCAGGGACAGAAGACCTTACAGAAGACAGAAATAGAACACAGAGTGCCCATCTTGGCCCGGCGAAACAAAGGCAGACAGACAGAGAAACCCTGCCGTTGTTGAGGATACAACAGTTTCTACCAGATAAAAAACACTAACACTGCCACACCTATATACGGACACGTGACAGGTACTCTAGAGCTCTATTGATTTGCAGCGGCATCGATGATGGCAATCGGCAAGCTGGGGGTTGAACGAGGTTCGTGAAGTTGGGGGCGAGTATTATGCAGATACAGACCGACACAAACAAACACACAGACACGGACGCACGCTGGACAGACATACAGCGAAAGGGAGAGGCAGAGAGAGGCCTGACTCGCACCGGAAGCCCTGGAGAAGAAGAGCGAGACACCAGATTTCTTGTGTCGAGGGTCTTGCGAACTTCCAGTCCCGGTCCTGTGTCTGGTCAGAGGACCTGAAGCTAGAGAACGTGATGCTCAACAAGCCTGGACCAAAGTGCACGGTGCCCAGTACCCAGCAGACAGACTTGGCCGTGGGTACGGCTAGTCAAACTTGATTTCAGGTCCTGCACACATTCGACGAAATCTGGCAACCAGCACGGGGCCGAGCCAGAACCTCCGGCCTTGACCGGATTCAGATCCATGATTGATGCACGTTCGCCACGACACAGTTTCTCCCCCAACATAACACGGACCTCGAGTTAAACTCCTCGAGCCCACCGGGCGCAGCCAAAGGTCCAGGTGCTGGTGCCAACGCCTCGGCATGCTCAGAGGGCTCGGAAGGTTGGGGTGGGGAGGTTGGGATCTTAGAAAGCCTCGAGTTTGGTGGTTTGGGGACCCTGAAGTGCAGGGTTTGGAGATTTTTGGAGTTTAGTGGCTCCGGAGACTCCGAGAACCGTAACCTGCATTGAAAGTTTTCGCCAACAAGGTCAAGCTGATCGACTTTGATACGGTTGAAGAGTGGCCTGGCCCTTAGCGACCACTGCGGGTTTCCATAATTCACGACCTGCATGCTTCCGATCAGACTTCTCCTTCCCAAGACATCGGGGTCGTCTCAGTTCAACCTCGCACAGCCCTGCATACAAAGCCTAAAACGTCCTACTGCTTCAACTCCATGCTTCCCTCGCGATCTGGAGGAACTCAACAGGCCCCAAGTCCAAGCACGTGCTGGGCACAGACCAGTATATCGCGCCGGAAGCCTACGAAGGCCAGGGCCTATGATCAGAGCTTTTCGTAGATCGGGACCTAGGGTCATCGCCTTTTGTTCGAAGGATGTGGGCATCTGGCATCCTCCAGATGTAAAGGCCTTTCCGCATCTCCTGCAACAAAGCCTGCAGGCAAGTATTCGCCTGCCTCCGACATTTTCGCTGTGGGGGTCATTGCCTACAAGATTTTGACTGGTGGGGTCCTCAGCCTTCCCAGTGTCGACGTAAACCAATCAGGAATCCAGCACACGATGGTAGATTGGCAGATGCGGGAAACAGACCTGAAAGAAACAGCCTGCGCAATCACTGTTCGGCCTGTACGATCCTTCATCAGCAGGTGACTTGGCCTTCGGCTGAGTGACGGTGTGTATAAGACGCTGAAGCGGAGCCTTCCTTCCAGGTATGAGGAAATGCCGAGACCTGGGACCCCAAACTCGCACGACACATTCGGCCATCTCAGGCTCATTCCCGTATAACGGGCGCCTTTTTGACGACAAGCCCGGCCGGTGTCTCAAATTCACCGTGGATTCTTCATGGTCTACACATTAAGCTTGGGCTGGACCCAGTGCCGAAGATCATCCTCGTGGCTACCGCATCCGCCAAGCCTGAGCTGAGGTGAGAACTGGGTGGGATCACCCAAGATGAAAGAGATCCGGCAGAAGCTGTGTGATGCAAGGCAGCCGGCAGCCTCCCTGCTGTAGTCGGTCTTGTCCTGTTTGTGGGGCTGGGGCAAAAGGCAAACCATCCGATTGGCTCAAGCTTTGGCCGTTTTGGCAGCTTCCCCTCCGCCCCGTTTGAGTGTGCAAAGACACTCCCGGGCGGCGCGGATCTCATGGCATCAGACAATGCTTAGTGACTGTTACTGGCGCAGCAGCCGGCGAGCCTCTGGAGTGGGACCGTATGGCATCAGACAAGCTCTTGCAGAACTTGCACGAGCCTTCTTGCAGAAGCTTCCGGAATAGGAGAAGCATTGGTGGTAGATCTCATTCGACGAAGCATAGCGATAGTAGTCTGCTCCCGAAATTATTTTTCCAGGTGCAGAGCATGCCGGAGTTGGATCTCGGAGGGTGGGGCTTGAAGCTTTCGGCACTTCGGGTCCTCAAGAGATGCTTCAGGCTGTAGTCGATTCATCTGGAGGAATTACAAGTCCCGAAACAGTGCTCTTGAGGATCGGGTGCGCAACGAGAGCACAGCGGCAGAGACTGATGCTCATCAGGATTTTTACTGTCAGAGCTCATTGGCTTGTCAAGGTGGCTGGGAATAAGTCAATAGCCAATATTTGCTAGTCTCCGGTCACGGAATGAGCCTCCTAAGCGAGGAATGGGCCAACGCCACGCGTTCGCTCACGGCCGCGCGGGCCAAGGACGATGAGCTCAGGGCCGAGGTGCCGATGAGCGGCCCGGGGCCCCTTTGGCCGCCCGGGCCGCCATGGGAGCCTTCGGATTCGGAACGCTACGGGGCCTTCGGCAGAAGTTTGCTGGGCCTTGGAAGCTGATGGTGGGCTGCGAGCTGTAGCAGAATCCTTTGCCCTGATAGGTAAAGTGGCGTGCGGCGGAGAGAGCTGCGGCCGAGCGGGCGGCATCTGAGGCCAGGGATGCGAGCTTGGGCTTGTGATGGCTTCTACTAGTGACTGCAAGGGTGCCTATGGGCCGAGTCGTAGGACAAAGGAAGCATTCGCAGGCAGAATCCCGGCACCAGATGGCCAAGGAAGCCTTGGCACAAGCAGAAAAGCAATGCTCCACAGCTGCACAGAGCAAAGCTACCGTTTGTCTTCCGCGCTGACACAGCCACACCTCTGAATGAGCATTGAGTCATGCCTCGTGCGATCAATAATGCGGGTGTCGTGCACCCGCCCCTCTAGCAAATTTCGCTCGAGCTGAGCTGGGAAGCCACGCCACCACAGGGAAGCATGCACAGGTCCACCGCATTTTGATTACCCCGGCCTTACAGACAAGGGGCTTGACTCTTCATGGGCATTTTCGCTGCTAAGATGCTCCAATCTTGATCGGGCAGCGTACTCTGAGCCCTGATCCCATCCGGCAGCAGCCATCTCACGCACACACGTTTCGAAATTCCAGCCCTGCTCAAACATGCACAGCCACCTTCCATCCCATTTCTTCCATGTCTCGTGATATTCTTTGGCAAGGTATGCTCGCCGCGGCAGCAGCAGCGCAAAAGCAGAGCTCGCTGCGACAGCTGGCCGAGTTTGAGTCCGCCATCGAACTCCAGGCTCGGTGACGAGCCGCAGGGAATGGCTGCAGGGACGGCTGGGAAGCTTCGAAACGGAGTGAGGGAAGCGGAAGAGACCCTGAGGCAAAACTAGCAGAGCAAGCCAAAACGGAGCTCCAGCAGCTGGGCTCTACGCTTTGTGGTACTTTCAGAAAGCCCTTGGTCGTTTAAAGCTTTTTTGGCTTGCCAATGCAACTGGTTGTTGCAGTCGCAGCTGGCGTCTGCACAAGAATTTCTTCTGATTCTAGTAGAGCAGTTCTCGCACGAGTCGAACAGTTTCGTTGTATGCTTGCTACTGGTTGAGAGTTCGTGGAGTTCATGGTCATGTCAACCACAACCACGTTCTCCGCGATTCGCAAAAATAGCTGTCGGCTCTCTGCTAAATCTCACGCGTCCTCGTGCCCGTGATCCGTCATCGTAAGGCGTCGCCAAAGCTCAGCCCCCAGGAGAATTTACTCAACTGCACTATGCCACTATGTTGGATCCTTTCTGTCGTCCTCCAGAAATGATTCCGCCGGCCCAGGCAAATCAAGTCTGAAGCCAGTGCCCGGCAGCAAGAAGTGCAGACTTTGCGCCAGGATACTTGAGCTTTGTCGGGTCTTGGGATGTCATTTCTCTGCAGACAGCAATGCTGGTACTATTAGAACAGTCTGCGTGCCAAGTCATCAAGCCGGCGCCTCAAGCACAGCCACAAGGCATTCCAAGGCCCAACTGAGTTGCACATCGTTTCAGTTTTGGAGCTTTCATTATGGAGGACTTGTGCAAGCTCCGAGAGTTGTATGACGAGAAGTGCCAGCGGCAAGTTGCAGCTTGTCTGATCGAGCCAGCACGGCCAAGTTGATACTAGTAGGGCGAGAGATGACGAGAGAAACATTGTAGCGAGAGAGTCGAAGGCGAGAGTTTTAGTGGACTACACGCGTGTAAGAAATAACAATCGTGCTGCAGTGCTTGGAGGTTAGGGATAACAGCTGACTCCCGTGGCCATTGTGGGTCAAGCCTGCCACCGGGAGTCAAGTGATCGGCTGTCTTAATTATGGCGGCTTTGCCGCCTGCAGGAGGAGGAGGAAGTGAAGTGCACCTGGTGGTGGGGCACTTGGGGGTCCTGCAGCCCCAGTGCCCCCTGCTACGGGGCCCTTCACCGCTGCAGAGATAGCGGCGGTGACTACCCTGGCCGCGGCTAAAGCCTTGGCAGGTCCTAGCGATGAGGCTTGGAACGTCTTACAACAGTCCATTGGAGGAGCACCCTCACTTCGTGTGCTGGGGTCGATTCCTGCCATTGCGATTGTAGCTTCCATTCGGGCCTCGCGCGTGCCTTCTCCCACCGCGGCCGATCCCACCGCGGTGCGGGACTTTACCATCCTCGAAGCCACGCAACTGGGATTGATGTGGAGGGCGGCGAGGCTGTCTTTGGGACTGCCCGATCAGGATCCTTACGACCCCGCCGGTGCTGTGGGTGGCGGCGCGGGGCTGGCTGCGGCCGCCCCCCCCGCCCCGGCCGGAGGAGGGGCAGGAGACGGGGCCAGGAAGGTCAAGATGAGCTCAGTTCTCGACCAGGGCGATGACGGAGAGGTGCCAAAATTGGACCAAACGGACGTGGACTTGTTCTACAGAAATCTGGAAAGGGTCAAAGGGGGACCGGTGAGGCCGGCCCGGACCAGATATCGGCAATGAAGGTAAGGATCATCGACTTGGGCCTGGCACCTTATGCAGACTTTGCTCTCTTTGTGAACTTTCAGTCTAGGTTTTCCAGGTCCCTTAAGTTCCTCAACCATGTCCTGCAACCCGACGGCACGTTCAGGGCCGTCGAGGTGGCGGGCCCTCCCAACTTCGATTCCTGGCTCACCTCGTGGCATGTGTTTGAGAACACCCTGCTGATGCTGAGGAACCGGGACCCCACTACGGGAAACGATGTTCAGATCGTCGCGCAGTCCACTCTGGACCTCTACCGGGAGACGTTTATAGAGACCTGGCCGGAAGGTATTCCGATGCGTGGCATCTGCTCGTGACGGCGGAGGATCGATGCAGAGCGGGGCATTTTCCCAGGGTAAAGCACCTTCTTAAGGAGCGCCACGGCCAAGGGCTTGCCCCCGACTATGACGTCGTAAAGCCGTGGGACGCCGTGTTCAGGTACGCCTGCCAGGACAGGGCATACTGGGACGAACACGTCCGCGACCCTGCCCTCCGTTTCCTTGCCACCAGGGGAGCGGGCACGAAGAGACAGATCGGCGGGACGGGTCAGGTCACGGATCGCACCGGGGACGGGGTAGCACCCCCTCCGGCGCCAACTGGCACCCCCCGCAAGAGGCGAAGGAGACGGAGCACGCCAGCGAAGGAACAGCCAACACCATCTATCACCCCGCCGCCCGCTCCCACGAAGCGGGAGGAGGGCGGGAAAGAGGGAGGAAAGGGCCTGAGGAAGGACGTGCAGGGAAGATACACCACCGATCGCCAGGGCAACCAGATTTGCTTCCCCTTTGGCATCGGTAAGTGCAAGGGGGTTTGCGTGCAGGGCTGATCGCATGTGTGTCAGATTTGTTTGGGGAGCCACCCCTACACTAGCTGCCCCAAGAAGGGGCGAACTCCCGACAACTGAATGGATGAGGCCCCCTCTCCGAAGCCCACGGAGGAGATGGGGGCAGAGATCGGGGCAGATGCGCCGGCGCATGTGGCGCCGCCGAAATCGGCCCCTGGGCAGGGTGTTGGGAGCGGCAAGGCCCGGTTCCTCGAGTTGTTCGCTGCATACGTGGGCTTGTCTAAGGCGGTCAGGGAGGCCGGAGGCGAAAGAGTTGAGGTACAAGACCCGGCCGACAAGATCGTGGGCGACCGGACGCTGGACCTTAGCAGCGACGACGAGTACGCCCAGCTGCTTCAGGATCTGAGGGAGGCGCCCGTGGACTGGGTGCACGGTGCACATGGCCCCTCCCTGCCGCACGTACTCGGTCGCGTCTCGGACAAAGACCCGGACTGAAGAGAGACCGGCAGGCACCACGGCAGAAGAGAGGGAAGCAGACCTCCTGGCCGAGCGGTGCGTTGGGATAGCCGAGCTGCAGCTCGAGCTGGGGAAAGAGTTCTCCATCGAAAATCCCGAGGGATCGCTAATTTGGAAGCTGAAGGCCTACAGAAGGTTGCTTCAACGGCAGGACGTAAGCTTTGTGGTGCTGGACCAGTGTGCCTACGGCGCTTTGCAAAGCCCCCTGCATGGATCGTCGATACGGCGTTAAGGTGCGGCGACGTTCGGAGGCATAGGCACACCTCTCTTAAAGGCAAGGTTCACTCGCTGAAGTTGGACAAGGAGGTCTGGCTCACCAGTGAGGCGGCCGAGTACCCCACCGAGCTTTGCGAGGCTTGGGCCGAGGGCTGGGTTAGGAGCCTCCCCCTCAACGCAAAGGTCGGGACGGCCCCCGGCCCGCACCAAAATTGATCAAAGTTGGCAGGCACGCCCCGCCCAGGCAGTCGCCCAATCCGGCAAATGGAGGACACTGGGTAATAAGGTCCGCGGAATCTTAAGTGAAGTCGTGAGCTCGACGCCCGGGCTGAGGACGGTTCGGGGGACGTGGCCCAGGACCTCCAGCAGAAGTTATCCGAAGCCGGCGACCAGGCCGCACGGAGAATTAGTGACATGCTGGGAAAGCCCGGGCTGGATCGCGTTGTGGGTCCCGCTGGCTGGCGACACGACCTCATGAGGCGACCACCGAGGCGGCTGGAGACCACGTCGCGACCTGGTTCAGGGACGGAGCCCCTTTGGGAATATTGAATGCCATCCCGAACCGGTGTGTTTTCCCTGAGGCGGGGTTGTCAGAAGCGCAGCGGGCGTCACAAGAATACTACGAAGCCCGGAAAGCCCTTGAAGGCAGGGAAAACTACCGCTCCTTCGAGGAATTCGCAACCGGGTCAGAGGGAGAGCTCCGGAGGCTGGTCCAGGAGGGCCACCTGGAGAGAGTGGGCGCATGGGAGGACGTCGTGGCCCGGTGGCCCGACGCCATCACTACCCGGATCGCGACGATCGTCAAGGAGCGCCCAGACGGCACCACGAAAACCAGGTTTGCGGTAGACATGCGCCGAAGCGGGGTTAATGGGCTAGCCACAAAGTTCTCGGAGAGAATCGTGTTGCCAAGGGGTTGCGATGCGGTGGAAGGCATCTTAGACCTCCTCCGGAGGCGCAGGCCCGGGGAAAAGAGGTCTACCTCATCACGGTCGACATCACCGACGCCTTCCTCAACCTGCGGGTCAGGGAAGAGGAGCGAGCATACACCATAGTTCGGGGACAAGACGGCACGTACTTCGCATATAAAGGGGTGCCTTTCGGCCTGGCCACCGCACCCCTCCTCTGGGGTAGGGTCGCGGCTTGGCTCATGAGATTCATCCAGGCGAGCATGGCGGGAGACCGCGCAAGCCTCCAATGCTATGTGGACGACCCGCTGGCGGCGGTCCGGGGGACTGCCCGAGAGGCGTCACACATCATGTTGATGATGATGGTATAGCCTTCTCCGTAGTAGGCGCCAGGCTCGCGATCAAGAAGCTGGCGGCGGGATCATCGGTCCCTTGGATAGGCTCGGTCTTCTCTGTCGAGGGGGACGCGGTTCGGATCCATCTGGACAAGGCCAAGAAGCTTCTCCACCGAGTGGAGACCATTCTGAATGCGCCGGGCCTCGGTTCCGGGATCAGATCCTTGGCGGGCGAGCTTTCATGGGTAGCGGGCATCGCCCCGAGACTGCGGCCCTTCGTCTCCATGCTGTGGGCGGCAGCCACAGCAGCCGACCAGCACGGGGAAAGCGACACCGCTATAGGCGCAGGCCCAAAGACGCCGTCTTTCAGAACATGGTCCTGAAGCCCCTCGTGTGGATAAGGGCCTTCTTGCGGGGAGAGCGCATGGGAGTCCAGAGGATCCATCGTGCGTGGGACGCCTGGCTGCACCCGGTCTACCTCTCCACTGACGGCCGCCATCTCCGTTATTGGGCGGTTACTATCACAGAAGAGGTGGCGCAATTTCTAGGGGCTCGGATCGGAGAGTCCAGCTTCATGACCACGTTCGAGCTTCTCGGACTTTTCGTGGGGCTTTTGGTTTGGGGACCCCGGCTCTTCGGAAAGCGCCTGGGGGTCCAGATACAGATGGACAATCAGTCGGCCCTCACCATCGCCACGGCTCCGTCCTTCAAAGGCGACTCCAGCAACCACCTTGCTGCCGAAATCAGCCTCCTGCTCGAGACGCTCCAGGCCGAAGCCCTGGAGCGCAGCACCATCAACATCGAGGCGGACGCAATGAGCCGCCTCTCCGAGCGGAAGCCCCTCCCAAGAAGGCTGCACGGTCTTGCCCGGGATGAGGTGCGCTGCGGCCTGGACCTGTTCGAGCTCTCTCTGTTTGCTTTCTCGCCCCCCCCCTCCCGCCACGAAACCATTCCTCCCTTCTCCTCCTCCTTCTTCACGCGCTTCGGCATGGGAGGAGGCGGGTCGTGCTCCTCGGCTTCCTCTCCTCTTCCTCCCCCCGACACTGAGAGCGGGGGAGCCTCCGTCCTTGCCATTTCTCGAGGAGGTGTCGTTGAGTCAAAGAGCTTTCCTCGCTGTCGGACCGGCGCCTTGCAGCTCCTCCTCCTTCTCGGTCCCGCCTTTGCCAGGCCCTCGGCGCTCCCCTTCTCCTGCAACCACGGCCAGGCGATGCAGTTCAGAAGTCCGCGAGCGAGACCATCCGATGATGGTGTGCGGGATCTGCGTCCGCCCCGCACCAGCGGCCTATCCGTGCGGTGAGCGGGCGGGTGCGCAGGGTCCGGACGGTCGCTTGCCGCCTTTACGAGGAGAATCGGAGGAAGCGGGGCAGCTCCCGCCGGTTCAGCTTGACGAGAGCTGAGAGGGAAGGCCCCGCCCTCGTGCCAGGCGTGGTGGTCCCGCTGACCCCGCCACCGCCGAAGGCACGGTCACCACAGCGAAGAGTGCGACAAGCGGCACGCCAAGAAGACCCCCCGCCTCACAAGGACAGGCCAGGAGGTTTCGGCATACTTCGCGGTGCAGGGCACCACCTTCGGCTTGGACCTCGACCTCCTGGAGGCGGTTAAGGGAGTGGGAAGCGAGGCCGGGCGCCAAGCAGCGCGAGCCCGTCCCCTTCCCATTCCTGGTGAGGTGCGACGAGATCGCCTCTCTCACGATGGGAGATGTCGCCTGGGTCCCGTTCAAAGGTGGACCCACCCCGGCGGTAGCAAAACGGATCCTGAGGGCACCGGGCGAGCTGGTCGCCAGGGAGTGCATCTGCGAGGGGGCTCGGGTGCACTACTGCCCCAGCTGCACCCTGCGGGACCAATACGCGGTGTGGATGGGGGAGCTCGCAGCTGAGGGCCGGTCTGCGACCGCAGCGCCCCACTCTTCGTGGACGGGGATTCGAGAAACTGGCAGCGCGTCGTCCTGAACGCGGCGCTTCGGCACGCATAGCCTGCGTGTCATTGGCGCGGTGGTGGCATTCGCAGCTGGTCTGGCTACCTGCGAGGCGCCCGTGCCCGAGCAGCAAGGGCCTCACAGAGACCATGGCCCGGGCCCTGAAGGAGGGTCCCATGTCTTGGGGGAGCGGAGGCCCGGTGGGGGCCAGCGCGGGCCTGCCGGGTTCCGAAGAGCTCCTGAAGGCGGGAAGGGCCCACAAATTCGAGGACTTGGTCGCAAAGATCAAGAACGGGCTCACGGGGACTCTGCATGCTCCCCGGGCCCTAGATCTGAACCACCCGGCCGCGTCGAAGGCGAGGTGAGGGTGGAGTTGGGTCCAGAATGGACTCGCCGGTAGCTTCAGCTCGGGCAGAGCCTGTCGCACTTGTCACTTGTACAGAAACAGGAAAAACAAGTGAGGCCGACTCTCCTGTAGAGCTAGGACGCGGTGAACCAGGTAGGCACGTCGTTAGCGCTAGCTCCTTGACACTCAGGTGCCAAGTCGACCGGAGGTCGCTCGCAGGGAATCCTGCTGAGGGGCGGCGGAGGGCAGTTGGCCCCACGCCCCGCATCTTGGAAGCGGGTTTCCCCCGTCGTCCCGCCCCCCCTGATCAAGAGTGGTGCTTGAGTTCAGGTACGACTAGCGGGGCCGGGACGACGAAGGGGAGATCGGAGCGCATCAGAATTTTGAGCCCAGGAAGGGCACGGCGGCTCGACGAAGGTCTGAGGGACAAAGCGCCGTCTCAGCAGCTACAAAAGAAAGGAGTGTCCGAGTGCATGCCTAGGGCGGTCTGGGTGGGGGCATGCACGAAGCAAAGATTGTTGTGGACTACACGCGTGTAAGAAATAACAATCGTGCTGCAGTGCTTGGAGGTTAGGGATAACAGCTGACTCCCGTGGCCATTGGTCAAGCCCGCCACCGGGAGTCAAGTGATCGGCTGTCTTCCCACCCACCTCTCCCGACAGCCTTCTGAGGAGGCACGTCGTTAGCGCCTGACGCTCAGGTGCCAAGTCGACCGGAGGTCGCTCGCAGGGAATCCTGCTGAGGGGCGGCGGAGGGCAGTTGGCCCCACGCCCCGCATCTTGGAAGCGGGTTTCCCCCGTCGTCCCGCCCCCCCTGATCAAGAGTGGTGCTTGAGTTCAGGTACGACTAGCGGGGCCGGGACGACGAAGGGGAGATCGGAGCGCATCAGAATTTTGAGCCCAGGAAGGGCACGGCGGCTCGACGAAGGTCTGAGGCTCGACGAAGGTCTGAGGGACAAACCGCCGTCTCAGCAGCTACAAAAGAAAGGAGTGTCCGAGTGCATGCCTAGGGCGGTCTGGGTGGGGGCATGCACGAAGCAAAGATTGTTGTGGACTACACGCGTGTAAGAAATAACAATCGTGCTGCAGTGCTTGGAGGTTAGGGATAACAGCTGACTCCCGTGGCCATTGTGGGTCAAGCCCGCCACCGGGAGTCAAGTGATCGGCTGTCTTCCCACCCACCTCTCCCGACAGCCTTCTGAGGAGGCACGTCGTTAGCGCCTAGCTCCTTGACGCTCAGGTGCCAAGTCGACCGGAGGTCGCTCGCAGGGAATCCTGCTGAGGGGCCCACGCCCCGCATCTTGGAAGCGGGTTTCCCCCGTCGTCCCGCCCCCCCTGATCAAGAGTGGTGCTTGAGTTCAGGTACGACTAGCGGGGCCGGGACGACGAAGGGGAGATCGGAGCGCATCAGAATTTAGAGCCCAGGAAGGGCACGGCGGCTCGACGAAGGTCTGAGGGACAAACCGCCGTCTCAGCAGCTACAAAAGAAAGGAGTGTCCGAGTGCATGCCTAGGGCGGTCTGGGTGGGGGCATGCACGAAGCAAAGATTGTTGTAAGAACAGTGGCCTCGCAATTTTTCAGTTGTAAGCCTTCTCGCCTTTGTTCAGTGAGCCTCGCTTGGAAATTTCACGATGCCAAGACGCACCGTCTCGGAGAATCGAAGGGTTGGACTGCCTTGCAGTGGGTTTTTGCTTGACCAGAGAAGGCGTTCACGAAGGAGCACGATGCACTGGCGCAGCAGCTTGAAGCCATCCGTTCCTTGGTGGGATCTAGATCACAGCTGTTGCCTGCATGTGCTTCGCAAAGCCTGCTCGCTGAGGCGGAGAATTGGCAGCAGCCAGAGCGAACAATGCCGAGCTCCAAGCCAGCCTACGCCAGGAGAAGGTGCTGGACACGGGCTAGAGAGAGGGAGAGAAAGACAGATAGGGAGAGAGAGAGAGAGAGAGAGAGAGAGAGCAGCGAGCGAGCGAGAGAGAGGGGGCTGCTCCCGCCTCAGACGCCGAGCAAAGCAAAGCAAAGAGGGAGAGAGAGGGGGGACGGAGGAGCTTGTTGTGGCCTGCGCCAGGCAGATCGTGAGCAGCTTGCGACTGAACTCTCTTCCACCAGAGCCCGAGAGTTGGGCCTTGGGGGTGAGCTGGCGGCGCTTCGCCGAGCCGTGTCGTGCGCGAAGACGGAAGCTTCCCTCCTCCGTGCAAAGCTTGCGGTACCGACTTCCCCCTCAGTGTACCCACAGCCTGCACGGCCTGCACCCGCAGACCCACGCCAAAGTGGTGGAGAGCCTGAAATGGGAACCAGCATGGCTTCCTGGTCTGCCCCTAGAGCTGAGCCACAACACATGGACAACAAGCAGGTAGAGTTCTCAGCGTCGGACTTTCCTCCCCGACTGAAGATACAGCCAACGATGCGATCCGACATCATTGCAACAAATAAGCCACTGCCGCCGGAAGGGGCAGCTGTTGTGGACGCAGAGCCCAGTAAGCGAAAGCTGTCGAGCAGTTCGCAGGCTTTGCCGCCGGGGCGTGTCGATGAATTCCCAGATACACAGCAAGACGACAAGCCACACGTGAAGCGCGCTCGGTTCTCCGATCCTGGCATCCAGGAGCCGCCAGTCGTTGGAGTGTGCAAACCAGAATCGTCGCCCTCCCCGCTGCATGCCGCGAAACTTAGTGCCGTGTCTTGGCGGAACATGGGTTCAGCTGCAGTGGCTCCCAGTAAAAGAGCACTAGTCACTAGTGCTTTGCGTCACTCGACTTTTGAGGACGCTGGGCCCGGGCCTGGCCTTTCAGGACTTTGGCCGCCGCTCGCCAGATCCCTTCAGCCAGCCGGCCTCCGGCATCCAACGCTGGAGCCTTTAAAAGGAGCTGCTCCATGCAAACAGCAGAGCGCTCTCCCGCCGCTGGGCTTGTCAGCTGTGCAGAAGGATGTGTCAGGGTCTCGTCCCAATGTTATGTTGTTGAACTGCTGACCAAACACCCAGTTGTGATGCTGAGATAGCCTATCTCGCATGTGCTTGAAGTGTCAGGGGAAGGTAAGAAAATCTCGCTAGCCTGACGGCTCATCCGAGCTGTGAGAGTCAAACAATTTAATTCGCACAAGATACGAGGTCAGGCCAGCCGGCAACTCCGGCAGCCACCAACTCCGGCAAAAGGTATATGCGCACTAAAGAGGAGGTCTTGCGGCTGGCGCGCTCGATGTAGCTTTCCAGCTTTGTGGTTTGGGGTCACTGGGAACTGTGAACCGGTTTGAGATGAGCGTCACTATAGGCCGGGTGTTGGGACCACTTACCACTGTTGGAAGGCTCCGGTTCGAGAGAGAGGCATTGCTTGAGGTTGCGGTAGCTTTGCTCGGATGTCGCCTTCAACTCCAGATACACCGGTGAGCTGGGAATGGCTTGAACGACCTCAGGTATTCCACAAAGCCCACAGCGAAGCAGCTTCGCAATCCTCCGCTGAAGCTCCCTGGATAATTCCAATGTTTTGATGACCACTTGGGCAATAAGGCACATTTTATTTTCCATGTTGATTTCCAGTTTGTTGCGGCCTTCCGTTTCCGTTCCGGGTTCTGTTATCGATTTCGCTTCCGTTCAGATTTCCCAACAAATAGCGGCAGCAGAAAACTGAAACCCCAGCACCTCCGAAATCTGAAACGGAACCGGAACCGGAAGACCCGGTACACACCGGACACAGACATAGCATTTGTAAACACAGTGTGCTTTCCGTTTGTCAGCTTCGGAACCCAAACCCCGCCCATCCCCGCCCCAGATCCAAACGAAACAGCCATAAAAATTCCGAAGCTCCCAGTCAATCGGAAGCCCAAACGGAAGTGCCTGGGGAAACTGAAATCAGAACAGAAACATAAGCGGAAGGAAAATCCAATACGGACCCACAGACGGAAGTGTAAACGGAAACTGTTGCAGAAAACGGGCACCATAGTTCCATCGTTTTTTGAGGGACTGGCAGAAAGAAAGAGCATCACAGGCAGTTTCCGCATACCGGGAGAGAGAGAGAGAGAGAGAGAGAGAGAGAGAGAGAGCGGCAGAGGGTAACATCCCTGCCGCATGTCGCAGCATAGATGCTGGAGCATGTCACAGCAGACTGCGAGAATGGCGAAGATGTTCTGGCAAGCTCTAATGACTCTAATGAAATCTGCCCAGACATGAAACAAAGAGGAGTTCCCTTAGCCTTTGCGCTGGGTGTACCTTGGAAAAGAGGCTGTATCCAGCCCATGTGGACTACGTCCTCGCTACCTGGGACCGGTGCCCCCCAGGAGGTTCTGAAGCTGGGGCATCTGGCCGTGCCACAGCTAGACCTGCAGCATTCACCACGAGCACAAATACCAACTCTGGAATGCACACGAGCTGGCAACATGTACAGCCACTTTGCGGCACTTATGAGAGCTTCCTGAATGCTCATCGTCGCCGGAAATAGACGCCCAAGAAGTCCGAGTTCAGGAGGCAACATAGGGCTGTGTATCTCATATGCCAGGCCTCATTCTGTGAACACTTCTGCAGCGACAACTGGTACAGAATCGCTGTAAAGTACTACCGTAGTGCCGAGGCACTTCCTCCAGTTGCAGAACGCGCAGAGCTCACGAGACAGCCTCGCAAGCGTGCGCGTCGTCTCCAGTGTGAGATGAGCTCCTCCTATCTTTGCAGATCGCAGTTCTCGAAGCCCGAAGTCCGAAGCTTCCATCCTTGAGCAAAATTTTTGCAGAGGAGTGGTGATGTACAGTTCTGCTGACTCCACCGCTGTACAGGATCTGGAGTCTGCCGGCTGAGAATGGCGGAAGGAACGATTGCGCTCCCACCCCTAGAGCCCAGCTAGCGGCCCTAGCATCTCTCAGCATTCGTTGTTTACATCACACCCAGGTCCAGAACCAGCGTCATCGGCGTTGGCGTTGTCATGATGATGTTGCTGCAGATAGATGAGGGACGACAGAAGACTACGATGATCAGTGACCGTCATGGTGATGTCGACTGGGTATGTAGTTGTATGCCGTGGGTTCCCTTTTGCATAACATAAACCATACCCGATGTTCGATAGCGGTGATTGTGGTTGTGGTGAAGATGCCGGCAATGATCCTCATCGCCATCACCGTTGCAAAGAAACAGCAAAACGTCATGGCAAGCTTCATTTTCATTGCCTTGACCGCGATGTACCTGACGCCAAGCTTCGAGTTTGAGGGACTCACGCCTACCCCCCTCGCGACAAAGACTCGGGAAGGTAAGCCGCTCAGGCTGAAGGCGCCCAATGATCCGATTCCTAAGCACCGGCAAAGGTCTTTGGAGGGCATCTTGGTTTTGCCGTTCCTCTAGATCCCTGTTTACCTTTACGAACTTAGTGTTGCTTGTGAAACGGGGAACAATCTGCCAATCCTCTCACGCTCCCTCAAAGCCCCATAACACATCGGGGCCCCAACAGCCTCCTAAGCCTGGCCGAAGCAAGAGAGAGAGACGAGCAAAGACTTGCTAAAAACCTGACGTCATAGTTGTTTAAGCGGCAGCTGTGAAGATCCGTCGAGGCAGCTTCCATAAAGACTCATGTGGTTCTGAAGGTGTCACTTATGGAATCATCGGCATTGCAGGGTCAGCTTCAGCCACGCCGTCTTCGACAAGGAGCCAGGTGCACAACGCCTTGTCGCACGGATGCTGGCGGCTTCGGGCTTAGAGCTGGGCAGACGTCGCAGACGAAGAGAGAGATCAGCAGTGTGGGGTCCGGTGGGGCTGCTTCTGCTTTTGGGCACAACAGGATCTGAAAGCCTCAGTCGTAGCTTTTTCTTGCAGATGATCACTACAGCAAGGGCATGCAGCCACCTTACTAAGGATGCTTGCTGGCATGGAAGTCTGATAATGAAAGTCCACAACGCTGCTGTTGGCAGCTAATGTAACGCCTCCAGCCATGGGCTTGGACATCGAGGCTTTGCGAGCATCCCTGCAGAACAAGCCGTTTCATGCGAAGGAGCAATCGGTGCTTAAGATGATCCAGCAAGTTGAGGCGATCCAGCTCCAGCAGCAGAGCCTCCTCGCAACGGCAAAGGACATTGCAGAAGTCTTCGAGTTGAAAGTTGGATCTTACAGCGTCGAAGTTACATTATTCGACACCGTCGCGTGCATTGCCGACCAGCTCTCGCTCCACTTCGGAGGCCCCGCAAGATCTTTAAATATCACCAAAGACGACGAGGTTCTGCCCAGAGAAGCCACGCTCGTGTCACTTGGAATCTCGCAGGAAACAGCTCTCAGTTTCCAGAGCTCGGGATCTTGCATTCACGTGAAGACGCTGACGGGCAAGACCATTCGAGTGGATGGAATCGATGCCAACACCACGATCGAGGAAGTCAAAGCAAGGATTCAGCACAAAGAGGGCATTCCTGCGGACCTGCAGCAGCTGCTCTGCGCGGGCAAGCAGCTGGAGCAGGGGCGGACCTGTGGAGATTACAACATCCGGGGTGGGACTGAATTGCAGCTGGTCCCAAATCTCCGAGGAGGCATGTGCGACTCCATCTCCGGTCGTCAGGGTTTTAAGGTTATTGCAAACAAAATCGTTTTTGAGGATGGAAATGAATGGATTATCGATGGAAGCCCAGAGAGCTTGCGGCGATACAGTGATCACGAAAAGAAGTTGGTCTCCTTCGCTTCCAAGGCTGAGATGCTAAGTTACTTAGAATTCTGTCGCATGGAAGACCTTCTTCGGCGTTTGGAGCTTGTCCAGTCCAGAGGGCAAGAGATCGCAAAAGAAGCGGCCTTTTGGATGTCCAAAAAAGCCGCCCAGAAGACGACAGCGAACGAGCTTCCACCAGCAGAGCCCGAAGATCCGCATCTGGATGATGCGCTGCTGGAGAGAATGCTGAGGCGCCAGGAAGAGCTTCGGTTTGCGCCAGAGACGCTTGAGCGTATGCGAGCCTGCACAGCTTCGGGTGGAGAGTGGCTTGATGTGGTCCGGGACTTGCAGCGCGAGGTTGCGATCGAAAGTGGGTTCAGGTCCGCAGTTGGGATTGCCGCCGCTGTCAGACACATGCAGACGGCCCACACAGTGGCACCAAAGCTCGCCAAGCTGTCCGTGTATGCGCGCGCAAATCTTGCAGAGGATGGATTTCTAAAACCAGGGATGCCACTGCCAGACGTGGCCTTGGTGGACCTTGATGGCCAGAGCAAGAGGCTGAAGGAATGGTGTGGAGATCTCACCGTTGTGTGTGCTGGCTCCTGGACCTGACCCCCATTTCGTGCTGCCATCCATGTGCTAAATGACTTAGAGGCGAGACGATGTAGTCTGAAGCGCATCCGTTTCCTGTGTGTGTACATACGCGAGGCCCATGCTACAGATGTTTGGCCCATTGATGGGCCACAAGTCTTGGAGCCGCAAACTACCATGCAGCGGCTGCAGACGGCACTCGAATTCCAGCGCAAATGCAAGCTCACATGGGCAATGGCCGTGGATGGAATTGAGGATGCCTTCCTGCGTAGCTTTGCGCCGTGGCCATTCCGCTTCTATGTGTTCCGCGGGCATACGTTGGAGTTCAAGTCTGCGCCTGTGGATGGCACGCACGGCTTCGATGAAGTCGAGGAGGCGATCCGTAGGTTTGAGACAGAGCTTTCAGGGTGATGCCATGGTCCAGGAGAATGTGGAGTGCAAATGATGTCAGCAGCGTGCCTTCAGACTTCAAGGCCGGCTTGCAGACGGACAGCCACTCCGCATTCACGTGCGACACTTGGGCATGAAGTTCGCAAGGCTTTGAGCTGCAAGGATTTTCCCCAGATGTGGTTTTGCCTTGCCTGTACAGAAGCTCGGACAGGATCGCCATCAGGTCCAGGGGCAAAAGGCCGTTGAAGCCTCGTCACAAGTCACAAGTGGCTCGCGATGAAAAAAACTCTGCTTGCGCCTGAGGTCAGCGAGTCTGACCGCCCGGATGCCCAGGCCTGAACTCCGATTTCAGGGTTGGGCGAAGCACCCCCCCGGCCCGGCACAGTGCAAAGGATTCTGTGCGAGCTACGGCTCGGCACTCGCCCCGGGCAGTCTCCACAGGAAACCCCACACAGTCATCACCCAGATTTTCTCGGATACAGAGTAGCAATGCATCACTGCAACCCGCTTTGGCCCTGACAGGAGTGCCTGCGGGATGCATGGTTGTCGGAGCCATCATCAAGACCGAAGTCATCGCAGGAACATCCTTGCAGGGTTCTCTGATTTGGGGTTGCACTTCGGCCCTTGACTTGTGGCGGTTTGGAGATTACAGAGTTGACGAAAGGTCTTCTAAAGTGTGTCAACGCAAGGTGGCATTCATCACGAGGCGTGTCCAGGTATGTCGCAGCAGGTCCTGGAACGCGGCAAGTTAAGGGGGGAAGCATTCGGATGTTATTGGCTAGGGAAAAAGAGCCAGTGTGGAAAGCCCAAAGACAGGATTCCGCCCAGCCTGTGGCGCGTGCTGTTCTAGTACATCATGTGAGAGGCCGTGGACAGGGCACTGACGCATGCGGGTTGGGTGGGAAGTGTTGAGGGCTCCGCAGGGTTTCACAGTTTGATAGCCAGCAATGGGGTCTTGGAGTCTTGGAGGTTCAGGCATTATAACTGGCGGTGACCTCCCGTTCGACAGCTTGTGAGGTGATGGTCTGGAATTGTTAGGCATATTGCTCGCAAGCCTGTGCATGGCTTTGGGCATCACCGCACAGCCCGGCAGAGTGGGACCTTGATAGACCTCCAGGAGTCCACATCTCACCATCGTATGTAGACCAAGAAGACCTGCTTCTCGAAGTAACATGAACTGATTCCGAGCAGGACGAGCACAGCCGGCCACGCCCTCAGGGACTCACTGGGCTTCCTGGGTTCTTTGCCGGCAGGGGATGTGGCTTCGCTTTAGCATGGACTGGGCGTTAAAGTCGACAATGTGACATGCGTGTTCGGCGGTTCACATAGTACTTGTGTGGTAGCTTAGCGCTGCGTGCGTAGTGTTTCACCTCCGTAGGCTCTCGGCTCAAGGGTGACAATGAGAGTCGCCCTGCTGTTGCTCGGCGCACTGGTGCGCCCGCTAGGGGGGCTATGGCCTTTCGCGGTGGGTGGCGAAAACCAAACGTGCGACAAAGGAGGAGCAGGTTCATGCCCTACAGAAGGGCACGAACCTTTCAATTCCCCTGGCTCGAAACCGAGCCCGGGAGCATCGTACTGGTGGTTCGATTGGTCCTGGGAAGGATCGAATGAACCGAAAGCCAGCACACCTCAAGCTGAAGATGCCCATTCTCGACGCTGGTATTTCCGGATTTTGGCCGGAGTACTGTGGGAGATATGGGAGGGAGGGCTGACATGGTGCGGCACCCTCTGTGCCTCTATCGGGCTTGCAGCAAGGTGGACTTATTGGTTGGCCACGGCCACCATTCTGCTGGGTATGCTGCAGCTTACATACTGGACCTATGCGTGGGTCGTCAGGCCCATCATTGTCGTCATAGGAGCCCTGCTCCAATATGTGGCGGGCCGAGGAACCTGGGAAGCTGTGCTGAGAGGACATGGGGAGAACCCCTACCACGTTAGGTGGACAGGACCCCAGGGCCAGCATCCTTGGTCGGTCAATTATGTTCAAGATCAAGTCAGGGGGAGAGGCGAACAGCAGCTCCCGTATGACCTTCTGGTGACCGACGGGGTGGCAGTGGCCCGCTTACGGCACGGCGCCGTACGGGGACGCACCAACCGACATGGATTCCTGTGCCGGTGCGACAGTGTGCACGGGGCTTCCCACCGCTATTGGAGAAGGTGCCTGGAGCGAGCGCAGTGCGTTGTGCACTTGTGCTCGGTATAATCCGTGCACTGCGCCTGAAGCAGCAGAGCCGCACATCACGGCCAGCGGCGTGGTCCCCCAGAGTGTGGACGTCGACCTGAACGAATTGTCAGGCCGGGGACCCATGTGTCGGGCCCTTAACGCTTCCAAGTTCATGGCACTACAGGGTGTCACTGGGCTTTGGGGCACCGGGCGCGCATGTGGGCGCTGGGTCGCATCCTGGTGTTGCTGCGGAGGAGCGAGACACTCGAGGCGCGTTTCGCGCCCGGGGGAAGAGGAAGGGCGAACCCCTCGCCATGACCTGTCGGAGACCGAATCAGAAGAAGAAGACAACCCATGTCAGGCGGATGCAATTGCCTGGAAAGAATGCACGCAGGCGAAAAGGCTCAGCAAAGAGCGCTGCAAAGATGCAGCGTGTTCGTGGGTAAAGCTTCTTAGTGATGACGGCGTGCAAAGCAGCAGTGGGGAACTACATTGGGACGGTCTGCAAGCCAGCTGCCAGCTCTGCGCCCGACACCAAGAGAGCTACGCTCTTTCGAAAACTCGAAGGGCGTGCTCGGTCGAGGGCTGTGAAAAGGTTGCCCAAACCGTAAAGGGGGGGGTCAAGCTTTGCAGACTACATGCCAGCAAAGAGGAGCGGGGCCCTGCCGTCAAACCGGGCAATTTCGCTTCCCGGTCTCGAGGTCTTCCGGAAGCCAGAAAGAGGTCCATCAGTCGTGGCGCGGAGCGCGCCCGACCACACTCACAGGATGCGACGCCCAAACGCAGCACTCAGACGGAGGCAGCAGAACTCCGTGGGATTTCCTCTCCCCCGCGTTTGGATGGGGCCACCTCCGCGGCGTCCCTCCCCGGGGTAGATGCCTCGGTCGAGGATCAGGTACTCTCAGGGCTGACCTGGGAGGAGATCGCCGGGATACCTGATGAGGATCTCCGCAAGAGGGCTATATTTCTTAAGCAGAAGGGCACGATGCCCGGCCCAACGTCCAGCGGACCGAGCAGAAGCACCCCCAGGACCGAGGAACCGGACGAAAATCAAGCTCTGTTTGCGTACTTGGAAGCGAGGCTCCAAGGGAAGGGCCACGACTCAGCGGTCGAGGTTTCCGCGGTGGGCGGCCGGACCCCGTCGGAGAGACAACAACGCCTCCGGGATCTTGCGCGGAGGCATTGCTTGCGACTTACCAGTGAGCTACCAGCCGAAGCCGGCAAGTTTGTTTGGGAACTCGCCCAACCGCAAGCCTCACCAGAAGAGCAGCCGGGGGGTAGGTTTTACCCGTGGTCCGCTTCGGACCCGGGTCCTCCCCCTTACCACCAGAGCCGGGCAAGTCCGTGGGCTGCTTCAGCCCCAGATCGTCCGTGGGCTGCTTCAGCCCCGGATCACCGCCCGACGGCTCAGGCACTTTTCAGGTCCAGTCCAGGATCAGGGGGACCTGGAGGGAGGACCGACGCGGTCGACGCGTTGGCCCAGGCCACAAGGGCTTTCCGAGCGGGAGCCTTTATAATGATGCGGAGGCACCTGCCGCGGATGAGACAACCAAAGCGCTCCAGGCGATAGCCAAACCTGACCGCAAAGGAAGACTCCCTTGCGCAGGAACGAGGCAAGCTGGCGTCAATCGGTCGCCTTGAAGAAAGGCTAGTTTTCCTGCTCCGGGGCTGTGACACTTTGAGCGTCACTCTGTGCCCGGGCGTGGTGGGCAAGGAACTCTTCCATGCGCTTCGCATTGCCGGGACACAGGCAAGACCGCAGCTGCGGAAGATCGAGTTCCCATGCAACATTCAGAACCGGCACAGCTACGGGTTTGCGGCACTGCAGATGGGCGGGAAAACGCTCAGTACCCTGCCTGAGTACTGCCTCTCAGCGGGAGATTTCCCGCTCACCTCGGAAGAAGATTTCGATAACTACGGGGGCTCGCCAGATCTCAAACTTGAACGTAAGGGCAGATACCCTAACACGTTGACCTCCTGGTTCAGAGCCGCCCTCCGCCAGTCCTGGGCCTTCGCCTGTCTCTTCGGTGAAGAATATTACCCCGTGCTTGAAAAGGCAGCCTCACATTTGCTCCGTTTAGGGGAGCAACACGGCTATGCCTGGCCAGCTTCGGCAGTATACGGTGCGTGGGAAGAGCTTTGGGCCCGATTCTGCGAGGAGGCTCGTGAGTTGGATCGTCGTATCCGCAGAGCCATGCAGGATGAGACTCCTACGTTCGCCAGGCTAAAGTTTTTCGCCCTGTCGCCTGGTCCAGATGGACAGCCCTGGCTCCAACTTCCAGGCACCTTTCGCCTCGACGATGACACCCAAAACTTCTGCACCGACATGTTGCCGCGCATGCAACGCCAGCTCTCACGTGCGTGTTGGGCCGGCGCGCAGAAGAAGAGCAGCGCCGGAGGCAGAGCTGCGGGGGAGGGGGACAACACCGAGGCTCGAACCGAGCCCGGTGCACCTCTCCCGTCCAAGGGTGGTCGGGCAGGTGGCGAAGCGGCGGACAAAGCCGCGCCACCGAAACTTCTAGGCCCTAGCCTCACGCCCAAGGAGGCGGCCAGGTCCCTGGACCACCGGCCGAAAGACCAACAAGGCCAATACCTGTGTTGGGACTTCTTGACGCATCGCGGATGCAACAAGGGCAACGGCTGCCCCCACTCGCACAAGGCTGCCCCGAAGTTCCGAAGTGGACCATGCTGGATTATACGGTCCAGCTCCAGTTGCTGCGCCGAGGGGGGCTGAAGGGCGCTAAGGCCAGAACAGCGGACGAGGTCGACCGAGAGTTTACCCGAGTTCGGGCAGAGCAGGCAGCTAAGACCGCAGCCGCCAAGCAAGAAGGCATCGCTGCTGCAAAGGCCAAGGCTTCAGCCACCCAGAGGACCGGCCAAGCCGCGAGCGCGAGCAATGCTGACCGCACTTCTCGGGCGGGGCAGCGCGTCCCGGAGCCGGCCGGGCATGTGGTCGCCGATTTGGATGATGTCCTACCTACCGACCGGGAGGAGACCCCTTGGAGCGCTGCTCAAAAATGAGGGCAACAACTGGTGGAAGGACGTTGACGCCGCTGCCGCTACACTTACCTGCCCTAGCTCGGCGTTTGAGGGTTCGGCCCGAGCGGAGGCTATGCAGGCTGTTGACGCGGCTGACCCCACCGGCTTGGTGGGCGTCTACTTACGCAACCGCCTTCTCCGCCTCCGTGAGGAGACGGGCCGCGCCCCTGAGCTCGACGACGTCACGCAGCTGTTGGAGGAAGCCGTATCCCTGGGCGGACCGGAGCTTTCGGAAGAGGCGGCACACCTCCTCGAGGAGCGGGGCTTTCACCGCAAAGCCGGCGAGTCCCCACTGGTGCAGCTCTCGGGCCTTACCTGGAACTCCTCCATCGGGGCTGGCACACTCACCTGGAAGGGCGTCGGTCATTGGGCCATGTACGATTACCAGGACCAGCTCCCACGCTTGTGAGCGTATGGGGTTTGCCGACGTCCGCGACGAGCCTAAGCAGTGCTTGTTGCTTCACGTCGCCGCTGCGTATCTTGGTAAACCGGGCCAGCCCCTTCCGATGCCTGAGTCAGTTTGGGCTCTCGCCGCTGAGTGGCGGGTGCGGTGGTGCTCGCAGGCGCGCGTCGCTAGGACTCCCTGGGGCCAGCGCCTGAGCGGCTCACGCAGGCCGAAGCCGATGTCCGGGTGTTCCACCACGACCTTCTCCATTTTGGGCATGATCGGGACTATCGGACTTTGGTGGCGCACCCTTTGGAGGAGTGGGATTGTTTGGGGCTGGCCGTCCTGCGCTTGGATGCATATATGCGCCCTGCGTTGAGGTCGTTTGCGGTAGCCGATACAGCGGCAAGGCGGAGGATACCCGGTGGGTGCTAGTGGGAGGCGTACCTTGAGGAAGCCGAAGGTTCTCCGCTACTTGACGCCGGGCGCCTCCTGCAGTGCCAGGTCTGTCACCCTAAGCGTGCGCCTGGTCGAGGCCGGGGCATTTGGGTTGCAGGTTCTCCGCGCGGGTCGCGGCCACCCTGTCGAGGCCCGTACCGGGCCCGCCTTGGGTGCCGCCGCCCCCGCCGCTCCGAACTCGTCCGCCGACTGGCCGCTGCTTTCCTGGCTGCCCGCTGCGGGACAGCCTCTCTCGCTGCTGGTGTTGGGGCTTCCTTCAGCGCACGCCTCAGTGGATTGCGCTTCGGGGCCTTTGCCAGACGCAGCTGCCGCCGTGGCGCGTTCCGCGCCCAGCGAAGGCGACACCCAGGCAATCTGGGGCCCGAAGGTTGAGGAAGGGGCCCCCTGCAGCCTCTTGTCGACGCTGCCCAGGCGTTGGGTGAGGTGGCGTTGGCAGAGCCGGAAGCCATCGCGCTTAAAGTCGACCCGGACACATTGACGGCAGAAATCGGCAAGCTGTCGCTGGAAGATGAAGACCCGGATTGGTCCGGCGACGAGGCCGAAATTCAGGTGACCACCGCTTTGCCGGGCGAAGCTGCGTCCAGCTCCTCCAAGCAAGAGGAAGGCGTCGGGACCAAGAAGGAAATCGAGCACGACGAGACGGAGGAACCTGCCCCACGCCGCCGCAAAGTGGTACTGGCTACGGGCCAGTTGTCGCTCCTCAGGGCCCTGGCCGCTGCCAACGCGTCCAACTGGTCCGGGGTTCAGCGAGCCCTCAGGGAAGCCCAAGGTTCGGGAGAAGAAAAGAGCGAGCTCGTGGAGAACCTTACGTCTCTTGCGCAAGCGTTCTCCAAGAACCGCGACGCCTGCGCGCAGGCGGCAACCTCGAGGGCGGCCGCCCTCGCAGAGCTCGAGGGCGCTGAAGCTGCGTACTTCGCCGTCGCGGCACTCCCACCGGCCTTGGCGGAGTTGGAACGAAAAAACCCCGTGAGGCCCAGCATGAACAGGAGCCTCGGGTGGATTGACCACGCGCGCTTCTTGCAGGACAAGGAAGCAGCCGGGGTGTGGGTTGCGCGCCGAAAGGAAAAATCGCGTCTGCGGGCCGCAGCACACCGAGCAGCCCAACAAGTTGCCGAAGGTGCCGGCGCAGGGGCTCAGGACCCGGTCCGCGACCAGGCCGATGCCGCCAGTCACCTCAACTTTCAAATGAATGAGGCGGCAAAGGATAGCTTACGGCGCTTCCAAGAGGAGCTGCGCTCTGGGGAGCTGGACACCCCGATGCGAGCCGCGGTAGCTCAGAAGCGCAAACCTGAGTCCGAGCGCAGGCGCCGCATCAAGTGGGCTAAGTTTTGCGAGAAACAGGGTAAGACCCGCAAGTACGACCCTACTGAGAGTGAGCAGAACCACCCCTATGCTCACTCTGAATCGCTTCACCTCGAGAGGGCCATGCCGTGGCCCGCTTCGGGCCCGGCAGGTGCCCGACGGGGAGCGGGCGAGAGAATCGAGAGATCCATGGTACTGCGGGGAATGGCAGCCGCTTGCAGCATGCAACAAGCAAGCACGCAGCCTGGGCCCACCAGTCCTTCTCTCTGGGACAAGGGACCGTGGCCTGCTTCAGGCCCGGTCGTTGTCGGAGGGGGGATAGGACTGGGGCTTGGGATGATGCTAGGCCTGATGCTCGACCGAGGGTGTCGCAACAAAAAGGAAGAACCGGCGGCCCCGCACCCACTCAGCAAGCCACCAGTAAAGCTCCTCCCCTCACCCGACCGTGGATAGCTCGACCCTTACCACGTGACGAAAACCATCGGCGAGCAGCCACGCGAGTCCTCGGGCTACTTGCCCTCGCTCTGCTCCCCGTCCTGGCAAATGCTGCCGAAAGGGACCTTGTGGAAGAAGGAGAGGACTGGGGTCTATGGACCAGCAGGTTCCTCACCGCAGGCTGCCTCTACCTTGCCTGGCGCATGACTTTGGGCTGGGGCGTCGAGACGAAAGAGGTCGCCTGCCAAACTACCCAAGGGCATCCGCCGGCAGCTGACCACGTGCGAGTGACGCCGGCCGGCGAGTGCTTCCACGCGGAGCATTGCGGGCACTTGAGGCCCCGCTTGAGCCCCGCGTTACCCCGCAACCGACAACAGGGCAGACCCTTGCGGCCGGACGTCTGGGGCTAACTCTGCGAGATTCGTCAGGGTGACGCTCGGAAGCCTTGCTGTTCTCGCTTTGCTCGTGCTGCAAGGGTGCGACCGAAACGCAGGAGAAACCGAGCGTCCCGGCGACCCCGCGGGACCGCCATTGTTGGGAGCTTCTGCGCTGGTCGTGCTGCTCTTCACCTGGCCCGGGTTGCCGTGGCGCGCTCCGCGCCCGGCCTCTCGACGAGTGGGAGAAGGAACGCGCAGGGTCAGGTTCGCGGTGCGAGAAGCACACCGGGAGACACGAGGAGAGCCCCTGCCCGCACAGACCTCGAGCCTGACAACCCGACACCATCGGCGTCGGGGCAGTCACCCCCTCGTGGCCCCGAGCGGGAATTCCCCTTCCGAAACGAAACGGAAATTCCGGGAGGAGGGGCCAGAACCAGGGGTAGTCCCCGCACGTCGCTGGGCGCAAGAACGCCTACAGTTGGTGAAGGACCACCTATCACCAGCCACCCAGCGGTTGTATGACGGCCATTGGCGCTGGTGGGAGCTATACACCAGACGTCGTGGTGTTTCGGCACTCCGCTCCGTGGATTGTTTCGATCCCGGAGAAGAGTCGCTGTTCCTCGACTATCTGGTGTACCTATTCGTGGGCCAAGGTCTAGCAGCTGCCACGGCACAAGCCCGCCTCGGAGCCATCCGAAGCGTGCACTTACAGCTTGGCTTCCCAGACCCACTGAAACCGCTTCCCCGTTTGCAACTTGCACTCGAGGGAATCCGGAGAAGGAAAGGACCCATCACCAAGAGGCGCCCAGTCACGCCGCACATGTTGGCGAGGGCCCAAGCGGCATTGCCACAAGGGCTGTGGGGAAGACAGCTCAATTGTGCATTGCAACTCGGTTTCTTTTTTCTCTTGCGAGTTTCAGAACTGGTCGGTGGCAACAATCCGAAACTCGGGCTTCGAGTCAAAGACGTCAAGCTGTACAGCCGTGGCGAGTTCCTCGCCCGGCCACCCTTCCGCGGGGCAGATGAGGTGCAGATAGTTGTGCGAGCCTCTAAGACGGATCCTGAAGGGGAATCCGCAACGAGGAATTTGTTTCGCAGCGACGCGGCCGTCTGCCCTGTGCTGGCGACCATAGAGTTTCTGGAACTTAGATGGTCGGAAGCCACGCCGCATCCGGAGGAAAAGTTCTTCGGAGAGCTTACGAGGCAGGACATCCAGACTGCCCTGCAGACTATTGCAGCCTCCTTGGGGGAGGAGGCGCAAGCTTACACTCCCCACTCTCTAAGATTTGGGGGAGCCTCCGCAATGTGGGCAGGGGGCATGGACTCATACGTCCTCCGAACCTGGGGCCGGTGGAACTCAGACGCCTTTTTGGCATACCTTTGGACGTCTAGGAAGGCGTCTGCCAACACCGCAGCCTGCATGGCCCGCGCCGACATGACACCGGTCAAAGGGTTCCCAAATAAGTGAACCGCCATCCCCCTTTCGTGTGTGCCCTTGTCGTGTCGCGTTTCGCGACCGACAACCCCTTTGTGTGGAGGGGCATACACACGCCTTTTTATATGAAGGGGGGAAGGTTGCACAAACGTGCAAAAGACCAAGGACTTCGTGCTTCGCGCGCAAAAAAGAGTCCTGAGCCGAAGTGAGTGTGAAACGTGGTAGCTTAGCGCTGCGTGCGTAGTGTTTCACCTCCGTAGGCTCTCGGCTCAAGGGTGACCCGCCCACCCGCCCCCTGCACAAACGTGCAAAAGACCAAGGACTTCCAAGGAGCACGCGAGTGTCAAGTGCCGAATGAATACTCAAATCGCAGTCGTTAACCCATAATGGCGACAGGATCTAATGTCACGGAACCACCATCACTACAGGTGCAAAGCCAGCAAAGGACGATGGCACACAATGCGGTCGGCTACCCAGCCAAATGCCCTGCTGCCGTGCTGAACAAAGTAAAACCAAAGCCTTGATGAGCTGCACCTCCTTCCGATGTAGGCCATTGGAAATGTCCAGCAGCTTCTGCACCGATCACATGCACAGGCAGGGCGCAAGCTTGATGGTTTCTGTTAACTGAGCAGGAGCTAGTCCGGGTCAAAGTTGAGATCTTCAGGCCACAATTGCCCAGCGCTGTGCAGAGCAGAGAAAGCCTGGAAGCGACCTGGCTCAGGGCGAGGCCCACCCGGCCAGTCGACGCGGCAAGCGCATGGCCTCGGACGATCTTCCGCTGGGAAGCTCAGAGTTGTCAGCTTGCCAGGGTTTCCGGAAAGTCTGTGTGTCTGTCTGTCGCTCCCTCTCTCTCTTTCTCTGTGTCGATGTGTGTTTTTGTGTCTCTGTGCCTTGGGTGCGCTTGCGTGCCATGGGTAAAGAATTCGAAGGGGACCGTCGCTGGCGCTTTGGTTAAGCTCTCTAGCGACGAAACATGTCGCACCACCGTGGCACAGACAAGCACGCGCACAGACACACACACAGACACACATGCACACATGCACACCCTCTCTCTCTCTCTCACACACAACTGCACACATCCGGTCTGTGCGGCCTTAGGCTTTGTTCGAGAAGCCCAGCAGCACCTTTGTTAGGGCCAGGCTGCAGCGACGAGAGAGCTACCTGCCCAGCCGAGTGCCTCAGCATGTTATCCGGCACCTGCTGGATATCCTGCCTGTTCCTGACAAGGTACCCTTGGCCCTCCCCTGGGCTCCAAGGGCCTGAAATGGTGGGGGGGGCGTGGGGGCAGCTGTGACGTGGTACCGAACCTGCGTCGAGGTTTAGTCGAAGAACTCTTATGGCCATGACGCCAACCGATCAGTGAACTGTTTACGAGGGCACGGTATGGTCTTGAGGATGCAGCCGTCGTTGTCATGGAGAACGGGCCTATCAGGTTTTCGAGACAGGGGTTCCAAGCCAGACTCAGAAGATGGAATCGTCGGCTTAAGATGGAATCATCGGCTTTTGCTTTGAGTTGATGTCGTCATCAAAGATCTCACTTGGCTCTAATGCTGAAACCGATCGCCACTGGGTTTCGATCTCGGATGCGTCCAACAGCTCCTCACAAGATGGAGTGGTCCTAAGTTGATCTTGCTATCCCCCCCTGTCCGGCACTCACATGGATGGATGCTCACCCGTTCCGGTTTTATGCATGTCTGGAAAATGCACGTGGTCCGTGACATATTGCGGATGGATCGAAGACCGACATATGCATTGCCTTTCGGAGTCTGTGCAAAAGCATTGTTCTGCTTTGTCCCTACTGGTAACAGTTCACGACCTGCGCTGGGACCTCACGTTCTAAGCGCCAGCGAAGACTGGCCGACGGTAGTTACTTACCGAACATGAACAGCATGAACAGTTCCCTGGTCGCGCTACGGTAGTGCATGTGCCCCAACAGAGTCCCAGAACTAGAACTGGCAAATGCCTCGAACATCTTCCTTTCGCGCAGGGGAACCTGGGCCGGATCGCTTGCATGAGCGAGCAAGCGCAACTTCGTCGGATCTTTTTCCGGGGGCCTTTCTTCTTGCAACGGCCAGTAGACATGTCGACATGTCCCAGTAGGGCCTTGTTATAACTTATAACTGTGCTTACGGTTTGGGTTGGCGCCCTCGCAGTGGCAAGGATCTGGACATGGTATCGCGATACTGATTTTTTATGGTGGTGTATGCGGCTTGAAGCAGCGAAGAGGAAGACTCAACGCGAGGCTTGAATAGTCTCTCCAAGGAAGTGCACATGCGCAGAAACAGACACCACGAAGCAAGTAGTATGTCGGACACCCCTGTCTACAACAAGTCCGGCTTTCAGATATGGAAAGTTGATCAAAAGGATTCAATTACCAAGCAATGCACGGCTTCAAGAAGAAAGGGGGAGATCCTGGAGCATGCACGGCTGCTGCGGCAGCCTGGGACTTTGCAAAGAGAGCCATGCCAAAGCTGTGTCTGACAACGAAGGCTTTGCCGATTGGTGGCACGTCCTAGCCCTGGCGGCCCTAGCCATCCCTAGCCCAACAATTTGATTTCCAAGTCAATGCTCCCGTTGCTAGTTATGCATACGCACTAGTGAACATGTGCTAGGTAGACTAGTTCTATAATTTGGGCTGGCCTCATTCGCATTGGTTGTGGCTGCAGCGGGATCTTCCGAATGGAGATACTGCCTCAGCCAGGCAGTGACCACCATGGATAAGTGTGCCCAAACGAAGGTGGTTAAGCTGCTCTGCATTGTGCCCGGAAGTGATTGGTCACATTTGGTCCCAAGCAGGCTGTATTGACTCGTTTTGGGAGCGTGATTGCTTAGCGAATCTGGCAAAGTTGCGTTCTCAGAGAAGTAGTTCTGTTTTCTTTCCGTATGATCAGGGTCTAGATTCTAGATGCTCCTGCATGGCTGCGAACTTTGTTTGAGCTGCTAGGATTGCCAGTGGATTGCCACTTCATCCACGGTGACAGGGACTGCTGACTACTTGCATTACTGGATCATTCTGCATGCTTGCGCACAACATGTGGTCACTGCTCGATTTTCAATTGTAAATGGCTTCAACTCACTTATGTCCCTGGTTTCTGCATGTTTCGCTTCCATTGGCACCATTCCCGTCCTGTTGTGGAAGCCATGATGGATACGTCAGTGCTGGTGCAAGCTTTTTGCATTACAGTCTCACCTAATCGACCCCTCGGCGGTCATAGACTCATAGACTATCTCTTGATAGAGATAGTAAGTGTGCGTGTCAGATCACTCCACGAGGCTTGGTGATACCACGTTCGCAGATCTACTCGCAGCCGATTGTACATCAGCTGTTTTGAGAGCGTGGAACTTCAAGTCCGACACAGGCCCTAGATGCAATGTTTCACACCGAAAGGTTCCACCATGGATTGGAGATGTGCGTCTTCGTGCACTGTGCACACATCGGAATTTCGTGGGCACCTTCAAATCTTTCGATATCTTTCGCCATAGTTGTACAAAGATTCGAGCATACTAAAACGAAATCTGTGAAACATGTTCAGACTCTGGATTCTCATACTCTTGCGCACCCCAAGACCAGATTTTTTCCTGAGTTGGCATGGGAACGGACGAGGTTCTTGGATGTTCATGGCCCACCAGTCCAGAAGCGGAGAGTCCGCTCGAAACCCACGAATCTGGGTAACTCGCGACGAATCAGCAGACACTAACCAACACCAAAACCGCAAGACCGTGCATACAGCTGCCCAAAGGGTTTCACTTTCTCAAAAGTCTGCTTGGGAAGTCTTTGCCGCAGCCTGTTTGGCAGGGTGCCCACACATGCTTTTTTCAGTTCTTAATCTGCAACTCCTGGACGATCGCTGAAGGCGACTGCGTCGTTATGAGCTCCGTCCCAAAAAGAAGGCATGCAGTCTTATTGCGCAACGACGGCTATCAGCTATTTTTAGCCCTCGGCACTCGCTGTCTTGGCATATCTTGCAGCTTGGAGCATGGACCCAAAGTAAGTTGGGTCCTCCTTGATGTGGTGCTTTGCTTGGGGTACGATGGATAGACAGGAGTACTGACGAAAGATGCGCCTCCACTCATCTTGCGGCACAAGCCAGGTGCCGAGTGGGGCGGCAGAGAAGAACAAGGCAGGCGAAGCCGAGAAGAGGATTATTGTGCGGACATGTCTTTGTATTGCGCCATATTGTCTTGTGAATTCCTTTTCGGTGCTGGCATGCTGTCAATCAACTCCTGGAAATGCGAAATCATTCCTGTCACGGCACCCACTCACAGGTTTTTGGCAGCAGTCGACAGCATCATGCATTTGACAGCAGGGATAGCCGAGGCAGGTATTTCCTCAAGGTACGTTTCGCTCTCTCGGAACCCGAGATGTCGATAGCTACAGCTGTTGCCGAAATCATTGCGTCAACGGTGACAGTAGCAGCACCATCACCCCAAGGAAACTGACGAATGGTTTCAGATTCTCCTTGCGAAGTGAAACTCGAACCGCGCCGTTCATCTTCGTCAGTGAAAGCAGAGGATGCAGCTTGCTCAGTCTGAGCCTTGGACAAGTGCAACAAAAGTCTGGGTGTTCCAAGCTCCTAAAAAAAGCTGACGAGTTCTTAGCCACTTGCAATCCCGACACTAGCCCACTAGCACAGGCATCCGCATCTTGATTAGTACCGAAAATGAAACCCCCTGCAGCAGACGAGACCAACACAGCTGGAAGCTGCCGCCGGACAAAAGCCATAAGTTACAAAATCTTGGGGAATAACTTGCGCTGAGATGCACTGAGACCCTGATTTTGGCTGTTGCGTTTGAACCGCTCAGATGATGACACTCCAGCCCGGACATCACAAGCAGGCTTAAGTTGCTACCCTAGGCGATTGTCGTCAGTTCCGCGGATCTGTCCGGATGCTCCGGGGCAGGCAAAACAGAAAGGATGAAAGTACAGAGGGCGCTGGCAAAGGAGCCACCGTTTAGGGCGCGAGGTCAACCTGAGGTCAAAGGCTTCACTAGTTCTAAGTTCGTTCACGGATCCATACTCCTGCTTGTACCAGCTGTGCTGCTTCTGGTGATCTTCCGGTTTTGCAGCAAATTGCCGCACCACATTGCCTTACTCGGAGGAATGCACGGCGTCTGAGTAGCTCTAACCTTCGCTGGCTACGTGAGACGTTATTGCTGGCACCAGTAGGGCACATGTTTCAACCAGAATAGTATCGTTCCCTGCGATGAATGTGTAAAAACAAGCCTCTGCAATCCCGAAAGTGCGTGACGAACCTACCTCCAATAGTGTGTATAGTGTGATCTTCGAACAGCGACCTGCCAACATGCAAGGCATATTTGATGCAGGCTTCTAGGCACCGGCGAGCAAGCAAAGAGTTGCTTGCTTGCCGGCATGTGGAAAGCATGAAGCTGGGATGGATACAGCTGGGTGCAGGTTTGTGGCGCTTCCCAGAAGCAGCTTGCAGCTGCCGCCTCATGTCTAATGCAGTTGCTTCGCCGCAGCTATCCGCAGCTTACACCAACCAAAGGCGACAAGAGTCCGGCACTGGTTACCTTGAAAGACGTGCCGCATGCATGTGTTGACTTAGAAACACCTTTCTCTCTCCTCTGCCTGAGCATCTTGAAAACAGAGTTTTGCTGGGATTGTCTGACCGCCATGATGTATTATCAGATCTTTGGCGAACAAGACTAGAGGTATTCAAAAGGCGAACACATCCCACTGCGCTGCCCGAAAGCTACCGGGGCCTAAAGAGTACTTACGCCGAGATTTGCCGCTGGACGCGTGGCCAGCAGACGTTGTTTGCCATGCAGGCATCACAGACTTGCTAGTTGACCTGCATGTCATCCTCTTGGTGTGGGAAAAGATTGGCCGGCTTGATGTGTCTGACATTCCGTTGAACGTATCGGTGATTCACACGCCCAGAACCCGCAAGATCGATGCATGGTTGTTGCATCTGACTTCAACGGCTGTAGCAGCATACGACTATGTGTGGCTGGCAGATGGAGACGTGAAAACCTCGGACGTGAACTGGTTTGCTTTCTGGACGAATATGCTGTTGTCCTGGTGGCTCTTACTGTGGGGGGGGGGCAGGGCACACTCTCGATTACACTTAAACTTCAGGTATTTCCTTCAGGCCAAAAGTCTAAGGGCATTTCTGCGATCAAGTTTGTACTATCTCAACAAAGTCTGTATTGCCACATCCAAAGATAGCATATGGTTGGGTTGGCTCAACCCGTGACGTATTGAGACCCCCGGAGCCCAGTCCCGATTCGCTGAAGGTATTTTCAGCCACAGGTTGCTCAACCTGCCATCGTGGCCTTCGACAAGGGGAAGGTTCACTGGAGACACTGGAGAAAAAGTGCCATAGTCAAGAAATTTCACAGAAGCACCCAGACACGTGGAAGCGATCACACGGTACTGCAAATACCGGAAGATGACGAGGATGACGTGTGGGCCATTGATCCCACCTTGATTGCCGCCGAGGTGGGGATCGTCGAGATAATGACGCCTGTGCTCACCCCCAGGGCTTGGTTGGCCATGAGGGAAGCACTTGTCAGTAACAGCAAGGCCATGCAATGGATTACCCAAGGCGCCACATGGTGCGTGGATGTCAAGTGGTGTCAGTTGGCTCGCACATCTGTGCTGGGCTTGGAAGTCGCAGGGGAACCGGACGTCGGTATCGGGGCTTTGGCCCAAAGGCTTCCTTCTCTGTGCACAGTCAAGATTTTGGGTTGTCAGGCTTAAGTGCATGTATTGAACTACCGGAACCATCGACTAATGCAACTGAGCTCTCGCACAAGTCCCAGTATGTAGTGTGATCAGAATCCAACGAGAGAGAACAGCGTCAACATGGAAGGGGGGGCATTTAGGAGCCGTTATCACCCGCTATGGCTGTGCTGCAGGCTGGAACCATGTCTAGGTCTCATCACACCGAATGGCTGGGTCGACTTAAACCCCAGCACCAGGTACTTGAATGGCATCCCGAACTTTGCCAGCTGAGCCTTCCTTCGATGACAAGACATCCTCCCGGAGAACAGGCTCTGTCTGACCCACGGGCAAGCACCACACACACACACACAGTTTGCTAGGCAGAACTTCGTAATGTGACGATCCCGTCTTCTGCAACTGCCGAAGCGATGCCAAAACGATGCGCCGCCCTTGTCTCCCCAACGAACCCCGTGAGTTCTTCCTGCATCCTGTTCATGTTGTCTCGCTTGCAGTGCACGATTTGCTTGAGAACTTCAGCCTTCGCAGCTTGCCTCTTTGTAGCGGTGCTGCATCACGGCGTCCAGCACAGGACTCCCATGAGCTGAGCAGCCTCACAGCCAGGAGCTAGGCTAGGGCTATAGCGCCTAGGGCTAGGCTTGGCAAGGCGCCTACGGCCCGGCTTCATGACTTCAAGCAGCGCTCGGCTCGAGGGCTTCACACCTGCGAGCATACGACGCCACGAGCCAACCTCCGGGGGCTCCACAGGTCCTCACTTGGCGGCCATACCGAGAGCCGAACATCCCTCAAACTTCCGCACCCAACACTTTCTGATTCGTCGAGACGCTCGCCTAGCGCGAGGTGAATTCCGGTGATACAGGGCCGCATGGGAGCAAAGCTCCCCGCTAGAAAAGCGGAAACCAGTCGAAATCAGCCAGGTGTAGCACACTCAGTGGCCGGGCTGGGCTGACTTCTATTCCAGTCGCCAGCACCTGACCGGAAGCTACACCCTTGGCTCTGCGCAATCTCGAGAACTCGCGCGAGAACACAACAGGCCTGCAGGAGCCACGTGCCGTACGCAATGGCATGGCGTAGCCTGATGCTTGTCACTAACGGGGTGGTTGCTCCAAAGACAAGAAGGGCCCCTCAAAGGTCGCAGGAAGGCGTAAGCGAGGGAATGCCGGCTAGGAGGGTTCCAAGTAGGAGTCCTAGTGCGAAGGCATGCTTGGAGGCTTTGGTAGTCTGGCGCCGGTCAGGCTCTTCAAACTAGCTCAGGGTCGATCAAAAGCAGGAGCTTGTCGGCCGTTTGGCTAGCTAGCCCAGTCATCCTCAGCAAGGGCTAGTTTCCACTGATTCACTGTTTCCCTGAGCACTTGGCAGGGTTCGATGTGCTCTGACACAGCCTGACGCTGAGCAAACTTTGCGGGAACTCGGTACACGGAGCCGGGTGGGTCTCGGAAGGAGGCGGGCACTGACACAGGAGGCATTTGCAGGCGTGCGGATGGGGCGTGGTCCGGTTGGAAGCTCTGCACGATACCCCAATGATGGATCTGCCACGAGAAAGCAGATGTCGCCTGAGGCGCCCAACCGAGCCGTAGGACTTCCCACAGGCTAAACAGACAGCTCCTCGGCCTAGTAAATGTGCTCTTGCGCGGTACCATGAACGTGGGCCGCGTGACCAGCCCAGGCTACCCCGATACTGGCGCATGGGATGCAGGATTCCTCCCATCGCAATTGGCCTCCCTGTGGTGCACTAGTCACACAAGGCAAGGTACCATCCAAAGCGCTTCTGGCATAGTCTCGTCGGCGAGGGCATGCTGACCATCGATTGTTTGCCTAACCAGAGCCTGAGCCACAGTCTGCTGGTTTGTGTATGTCGTTTGCCCTGGCTGCCATGCTGCTTTGATTTCCTCCTGGAACTGTATGCACTCAACTCTTTGGAGTGTTGGCAGCCAGGGGCGCGAGCAAGCCAGGACTCGGCCCGCTGCAACTCGATCATGTGACGCCCCTCGTCTTGGTCCCTGATTGCAGCAATGAGAACTTGTACCGGCTTCGGAGCCACACCAAGCATTTGCTGTGAATTGTAGGTCGGGAAATTGGTCTTCGAATGCGCCTCACAAATTTGTTGCTTCCACGGCCAATACCGCGGAGACTTGGCACCCTGCCACAAACACCAAGTTGCCCTGCGGGAATCCTGCGACTCCCATGACTTGTTGCTCTTGCCCATGTCAAAGCCACGCCGATACTTCAGCTTCGTGCGATGGGCCTCCAGGCGCGCGAGGTCCTTCGGGCGGTCCCTTAAGCCGGACCGCACCTCCTCCGCTTGTCGGATCTTCGAGCGGGCAGCGGTGCCAACCTGATTTGGGCGAGGCAGGCTTCTATTTGCCCCACCACGTCGTTTATGAGCGCAAAGGAATTCCAAAGAGACTTGGTCTGAGAGCATGAAATGAGCAGCATGAGACTTGATCTGGTAGGTCTCATGATATCGGCGGGCTCGGCTTAGTCGACATGGTTCGCGAAAGTCTCTCCATCTGTGCTGCCGATACACCGTCGGGCCCACGGCTTCCACACCCAGAGCTGTGGTGGATCCTGAGAACAACTCAACACCTCCTGCAGCAGGGTCTTCCTTTCGCGACTCATTCTTGCACCCATGTTGGACGGTTCTCAGCAACCGAGAAGAGCTCGTGCCATACAACATCATGCTGAGAAGCCTACCGGGTGCCATGTTCTAGAATCCCACGACCACGACCGTGGAGCTCATACGGTTGAAGCTTGCCGCAGTAATCAGCTGCTCACTGCGAAATCTCAACTCCCGTTTCGGCTGACCTTTCTCCCGTTGGCGCAAGCAGAGCCTCGGGCTACAGCGGCTCCAGATAACAGAAAGCACGTAAGCCTAGCTAAGCTTCAGCAAGGCATCGTTTCGTATTTCGCAGAGATATAGTAGTTCACAGTTCCTTGTACGTTGACAAGCTCAGCTCATTCGGCTGAAAATGGTTCTGAAGCCCTGAGCTTGCAGTTGTCGGTATACGAGAAGTGAGGTTCATTCAACAACAATCCAGCCATTTTCGCTGGCTTTGGCCTACTGGCGAGCGGCACTGGGACTCTTACTTGGACTTTAAGAAGCAGATGGAAAGGCTGTTTATGCGAGACAGTGAAGGACCCCTGTGCGTCATCACAATTTTCAGTCACTGAAGAAGTCGAAATTCAGGCACAAGAACTTCGAGTTGTGCGCGGAACTTGAGGTGGAGCTGACGAACACAGCACTTCGAAGCGTGTATAGTTTTGTCCACGAGACAGATCTTAGAGAAGGTTCGCGCTTCATTAAAACCAGCCACCAGCCCGGCAATGCCAAGCCGTTGCGCTTGCCGCAGGGCGAAGAGGCCCGCGAATAGACTTGAAGGTTCAGGGTAGTCGTGTCAGCTAGAAGTGGAGACTTGGCACTTATACTTAGGCGGCTTATGCTTGCATTTTCAATATAGGAACAACTGGGCCATCATTACCTAGAGTGGTTTAGGGTTGAAGGGTTTAGGGTTTAGGGGTAACCCGGCAACACCACAGGAGGCCTGGATGCAAAGGATTTAGGGGTTTAATAGTGGGAAACCCAAGGAAAAGCTATTTTTAGAAAAGCTATTCCATCCATGTCTTGGCTACAAATGGGCAAGGGGGTGGGGTTTAAAAGTGGCAAACCCAAGGAAAAGCTATTTTTAGAAAAGCTATTCCATCCATGTCTTGGCTATAAATGGGCAAATGGGTGGGGGGTCGGGTGTGCCGGGGTCTAATAATGGAAAACCCAAGGAAAAGCTATTTTTAGAAAAGCTATTCCATCCATGTCTTGGCTACAAGTGGTCAAGGGGGTGGGGGTCGGGTGTGGGGTTTAAGTGGAAAACCCAAGGAAAAGCTATTTTTAGAAAAGCTATTCCATCCATGTCTCGGCTACAAGTGGTGGCAAGGGGGTGGGAGTCGAGTGTGGGGGTCGGGGTGTGGGGTTTGATAGTGGGAAATCCAAAGAAAAGCCATTTTTAGAAAAGCTATTCCCTTTATATCTTCGCTACAAGGGGTGGCAAGGGGGTGTGGGGTCGGGCTCATAAATGGGCTTTAGGGAAGCGGGTGCCTGTGTGCCATACGATGTGGTGCGATCTTGAAGTTTGTGTGCGGCTTGGTGCGACTCTGAAGCATGGGTGCAGTGCGATTTGGTGCGATCTTGAGACAGCATGTGTGCGACTAGGTACGACTTGGAAGCAGCTTGTGTGCAGTGCGACTTTGAAGTAGCTTTGTGTGCAGTGCGAAGTGGTGCGACTTGGTGCGATTTTGCTTGGGCTTGGTTTGGAGTGCCTTGAGCCTTGTTGCTTCAGGTGTCAAGAATGGTAGATATGCATGAAGCAGGCGGGAGAGCTATCAACAAGCCTAGGCAGACCATGGCACAAAGCTGCAGTGTAGAGAAACACCTAGACTCGACGGGTCAAATGTGCGGAGCTGTAGCGGCTTTTTGTTCAAACAACAAGCTCTTTGCAAGTAATCTTGTGATCATGGATTCTGCAACAGCCAGATCCAGATCTAGAAGCCCTCGGGCAGATCTAGAAGCCCTCGGGCATCCTCGTCTGAGGACGAGCAATTCGATGTTGAAGTCGAGTCTGCTGCCGAAGAGCCGGAGCTCGACGGTCAAGCTTGGCAGCTCGACTTCAACAGCTTTGGCACCGGGCCTGTCGACGTGGATATGATCTTCAAACAGATTCTGGCCAGAGAGTTGCCTGTCGGGGATGATGTGCTGTATATCAGCAAGCAGGGTGCGGTCCCAAAAATCTATCCTGAAAGAGGATGTTTCATTTATTTGGCCGCACATCTTGTGGATGTCTTTTGTGCTGCTCCCCCTGGCTGCCGAAATTTGAACTCTGGCAAAAGGAAGATCTGCGAGGCACTGGTGAAGCAGGGGTTGCAACTTGTTGTGCCATGTGTGGCTGGGGAGTCACTGATGCTGGGGATGACCAAGATTCCCTGCAAAATGTTTCTTGCTGCCTTGGAAGCCTGCAACATAGACACAGTGTACGTGGGACACTTTGGGGCCCGGTGGCCTTGTGCCACAATCGGGGACGGGGTCCGTGCCGGGGTCGTTTGTCGTCATCCAGCCACTTTTGTTCATGCCCGCACAGGGCACGATCTTCCCCGCCAACCTCCAGTTCTCCAAGCTGAAAGCCACGCTGAGAGTCCCGCAACCAAGACGGTCGATCCTTTCTTCGATGGCGATGGTATCAGGGCTCCCAGGCACCCGGAAGGCAAGCTTGGCTGTGCCCGTCTGCCATCTGATCAAAGGATTTCTGCTGTTCCACCCTTCGGTAGCTCGCAGATCTGCTTCGAGCAAGTAGGCATTCGAGGGCAAGGACCTGGCCGCCATAGCCCAGCGGCCTACCGAGCTTTCGCAAGACAGCGTCCACCCGGCATCACCGCAAAGGCCAGCGCCACCACAGCAATCGAGCCCGAGCTACGCGGCACACACAAAAAGCATCCAAAATACTGCATGCAGCGAAACTGAAAGCGCATCGGATGCAACCCTCATCAGAGCGATCGTCTTGCTGAGGACAAGACCGGTAATTCTCGTCGTGCGAGTCGAAGCAGCCTAAGCAGCAGCAGCAGCAGCGACAATGACAAGTGCAAGGTTTTGCTCGAAAGCCCTCCAAGACACCATCTAAAGCTCGAACGGCCTCCAGACCCCCAATCGAAAGTCAGGTTTAGCATAGCAAGTTACGGCATCGGAAGTGGCGGGATTTTGACAGAAGCGCCGCCAATCCTGTCACAACTCACCGCCTGGGCCATGATGAGGTGGCCGCAGCCCCGCGCTTTCGCAAGACAGCGTCCACGCGGTTCCGCGGCCGCCATCCCACGCCGCCTCGGCCATAAGGTGGCCGCAGCCCCGCACTTTCGCAAGACAGCGTCCATGCGGTTCCGCGGCCATGCTACATCTGCGTGTCAGCGGCGCTCTTCCGGCCTCGGCCCGCCCTTTCGCAAGACGGCGCGGTGCTACTCTTCGCGGCGGCCGGCAGGTCTTCTTCTGGCCCCAAACCCGCGAAGACGTCTTCTGAATTGAACCCGACGCTCGAAACCGGACAAGCGCAGTGCCACGTCGAGGGGAAGATGCCCGAGTTCGTCACGAGCCTGGGGGCTAGCTCGCGCCCGCACCAAACACGTCACCCAGTTCAGACTGCCTCTTTCAGCGGCTTGATGAAGCAGATGAAAGTTCTCCGTGTAAGGTCGCACTGTAGCACCGGCTCGCAGCAAAGAGATTACCGGACCGATCGAAGAATCTATGAAGCACCTTTCGATGGGACCGCGACCTTTGGCATCCTCCTGAGAAGCGTCCGCCGCATTTCGCAGCAGAAGTCGCACCATCGATCTCGAACCCATCGACGCGGCAATGAGCAAAGGAGAGTCCATGTCCCAGTCTCGGCGATTGACATCTGCTCTAGCAGAGATCAACGAGGTCGCCACTTCCACGTTGTCCACGCTGCAGGCGCAGCAGAGAGCCGTGCTTCCTTCCGTCTCCAACGTAGCTCCTGAGGCAAGAAGGCTCTCCACTATGGGGGGGCGCATGGTAGGAATCATCGAAGCGAGACAAAGCGGAGTATAACACCCTTGCTCCCTCAGACCGCGACGATGCGACAAGTCAACGTTCGGATCCACCCAGCTTGCAAGCAGCCGATCCACCTCGACCCAGTGGCCACGCTCTATGGCCCAGGCTAGCTCGTCCTCGCCGCCGGCTCGACATGGTCGCATTAGCATGAGAACATCCAAATCGTGGCCTGCCAGCAAACGCTCCGAATCCTGCCAAGAATCCAATAGGTCGAGCGGCCGACTCTCATCCATGGAATGAAAGTTCAGGCGAGTCTCTACCACTCGAAGACGAGTAGCCATGATAGAATACAACGTATCCAAGACACTCTGCAAGGGAGCCTGCTCCCGCGGATCCACGACCAAGAGCTGCTCACCGCTCAGAGCGCGAAGTCGCAACATCTCCGAGCCTGCCGACACAGCCGACAGCACGAGCAAGAGACGGCTACGGGGGGCGAGCGACTTCTAAGATCACCCAAGACAACCCGCGTCGATAGCTCGTTTTGTCTGGAACCTCGATAGGAAATCACGGCCTCGGCCATATGGTTGCCCGCAGCCTCGCACTTTCGCAAGACAGCGTCCATGCGGTACCACGGTCATCCTGTGGCCTACATCCGTGCGACAGTGACACAGCGGCCGAAGGTCAGCCTTCTGGCCACCTCCAACGAGATGAAGCTCGCAACGAATTATGAATTTTAGACACGCAGCCCGCCTCAAAACCAATCCTCCTCAACAAAAATGCCGAAGATCTCAACGTCCTTAGTCCCGAAGCCTTGGCGAGCCATGTGCTCCATGTACTCCTCGACCGTGCATTCGAAGATTACCAAAAACAACTCCCGCACCTGTGTACGTTCGCTTGGGATGCGCACATAGTGGTACTCCAGCAACCAGAGCAATTCCGCTGCGGTGTTGTCTTGAGTTTCTGCTTCGAACTGCGCCAGCAACGCCGTCACCGAGTCCTGCATGCGGCCACAGAAACGTCTGCGATCCTCGCAGTACTCGGCGTACATTGCTGCCACATAACGCCGAACATCCCGGTCCGACGGGTACGGCCCCTGATTCTGGATCAAAGGACCACGGATCGGACACAGCATCTGCGAGATCAGGGGCACTGACATGGCTCGCCTCCGAAAACTTCAGTGGGGACGGATTTTCAGCCTGCTGATACCCTTCGCACAGCCCTCCCACGTCGCGCTTTGAACTGCTCTTACCATCACCGAACCCGTACCAACGCTCACAGAAGCACCAAGGTCTTGACCACTGAAGAACCTCGCCGCCGACCTGGGCCGCCAGACCGATGCCCAGAACCAGCCATGAATCCAAACCAAGCCCCACACACTAAGAGACGGGTGAGACGGGTCTTATTCTACTTACACCTCGGCCTCCGGAATTTCGAACGCCTAGTTTTCTCCTTGGCCTTCTGGAGTCGCCTTGCATCTCCGAGCCTCTCCCGATTTTGGAGCAAGCCCAAGCACAGACCTCAATCCCGCCAAACGCCTGCCTCGCCAAACCCTCTTAAATTAGGGTTTGGGGTTTAGGGTTTATATAGAACCCTATAGCACCCTTTAAGGAGGCAACTCCTTCCATTTGCC